CCTCATCCTCATTCCTCACCCTCCTACTCACTCTGTTCCTCCTCACTCCTCATCCTCCTACTCACTCTGTTTCTCACCCCCTTCCTCACCCTGTTCCTCAACGTCTTCCCCCATCTCTCCCAATACGTTTACCAAATCACTCGGTCAGAGTTGTGATTTGTACAATGACGAAGATCATGATCCTAACGAAGAATGGTTGTAGAGTTTACTGGTATGAATTAAGACCAGCTATGAAGTTAACTGGTCCTAATTCAGGTGGGAACGCTTTCCCACCTGATGACGGACGCTTGTGTTGTGCCCGAAACGTGATTTATTTAATTTTATACCGACATTAATTGGTCATCATGAAGACGCGGCGGTGGCTTGATATTAACTACCTCACTTGGTATGCAGCAGGTCGTGGATTCTTCCCCGATCCTTACACTTGTACATTTGGAGTTTGCACGTTCTCCCTGTGGTCGCGTGGATTTTTCTCCAGGTCCTCCGGTTCTAAACACGCGTTTAGAGCATTTGGCTGCCGCTATAAATTGTCCACATGATAATGAGAAACCACTTAATTGGCCAGGTCGGTTTTGAAAAAGAGCTGTAAAGCTTAGTGGACCTTTCCTCGTAAAATAGAAGCAGTTTTTCTATATATATATTTTAAGACTGGTTATGAAGTTAACTGGTCCTTAACAGGACCCTGCGGGGTGGGCTGGTAGGAATAATACTTAGTACCGGTACAAGGATATCGACCGGGTATAGAGGAGTTAAAGACAAAATTACTGTATTCTAGTGTAACGTTAATTAAAAGTGTTTTTTTGACAAGAAACGCTGTGAGATTTAAAGACCCCTCACCACCAGCCCTCACCACCAGCCCTCACCACCAGCCCCCACCACCAGCCCCCACCACCAGCCCTCACCACCACCCCCCACCACCAGCCCTCACCACCACCCCACCACCAGCCCTCACCACCACCCCCCACCACCACCCCCCACCACCAGCCCTCACCACCACCCCCCACCACCAGCCCCCACCACCACCCCCCACCACCAGCCCCCACCACCACCCCCTACCACCAGCCCCCACCACCACCCCCCACCACCAGCCCCCACCACCAGCCCTCACCACCAGCCCTCACCACCACCCCCCACCACCAGCCCTCACCACCAGCCCTCACCACCAGCCCTCACCACCAGCCCTCACCACCAGCCCTCACCACCAGCCCTCACCACCAGCCCCCACCACCACCCCCCACCACCAGCCCTCACCACCACCCCCCACCACCAGCCCTCACCACCACCCCACCACCAGCCCTCACCACCACCCCCCACCACCACCCCCCACCACCAGCCCTCACCACCACCCCCCACCACCAGCCCCCACCACCACCCCCCACCACCAGCCCCCACCACCACCCCCTACCACCAGCCCCCACCACCACCCCCCACCACCAGCCCCCACCACCACCCCCCACCACCAGCCCCCACAACCACCCCCCACCACCAGCCCCCACCACCAGCCCCCACCACCACCTTCTGCACTAGGCCTCGCGAAGCCTGCCGCACTAGGCCTCGCGCCGTGCTTTTCGTGCACAAATAAGGTGATTAAATGTATCTCGTCTCTGTGTTAATAAATGTTTCTTGTCTCTGTGTTAAAAAAACGTGCTGCGTTTCAGTAAAGTAATTTTGAAGCGAAGTTTAAAGTTTCGCCGCGAGGCGCCGGAAGCGACGGCCATCTTGTTTAATTCACATTGCAGGGGGAGCGGGCGGCCATCTTGTCGGACAGGGTCATGCCAAGTGTTTGCAGTAGGGGGCGATGTTGATACACGGACGGACGGACGGACGGACACATTAATCTATTGGTGGTCTGGTCCACTTCGTTCCTACCAGTATTAAGACTGATATATCACATGAACTGGTTATAATTAAGACTGGTCACATAATTGATTGGTTAGCATTAAGGCTGCTTATACAGTTAACTGGTTCCAATTAATATTTATATATTAAATTAACTGCTTACAATTAAGATTGGTTATAAAGTTAACTGGTTCTAATTAAGATTTATCTATGAAATTAACTGCTTATAATTAAGACTTGTTATAAAGTTAACGGCTCATTATGCCTGGTTCGAAAGTTAACAGCTCCCAATGAAGACTGCTTCTAACGAGGAATGGTCTCGATGGATACTGGTCTGGATTAATCAGAATATTTATGTAGACTGGAGGAGAATTCCGATGAGATCTGAGGCTCTTTTTAGCAGATGTCCAGTAAGGGCACAGGGTCAGAAAGTTACATAAAGTTACAACAACAAACTCCAAAATAACGCTAGGAGTGCAAAGGTAAGCAAGTCACTAAAATCTAATTAAATAAAGACCTTCATCTGTATGTATATATGTACGTCTCAAATATATGTAGGGTATTTCTTGACGAGGTAGGAAACTGAAAATTTGAACAAATGAACCTTTTGGCGGGACCCCCGTTACCCATAAGCCCCCGGCTCTCGCATAAACATTATATTATAATGCGAACAATAACTTTCCTTTTTTCACCAATGGGTTTGAAGGATGGTGGCAAGTGTTGTCTTGTTAAACTATGCCTTTACAACTGAAAACTACTTACCTGCAGTACCTCTATTTAAATATGTAGTGAGTTCAGGGAGACGACGTCGGAGTTGAGGCACACTCTTTTTATTAACGCAGGGACAGACACAATAGTTGAAGGGGTAACGGCCCATTCACCCGTACTATGTGGGAAACCACCCTAGTACTAAGCCCTCTGTCCTGCTCCCCAGTCCTCCTCTAATGGGCTACGGGAGGCTGTCTGATCTGGCCCTGGCAAGCACAGATCTCGGCACCAGCTAAGCCGGCCCTGCCCTTACAAGGGCAGAGGTCCGGGAGCTCTTGGGCCGCGCCGCTGGCTTACCCAGCTCGGCCCTGACAAGGGCAGCGAGACAGGGGAGTCCCAGTGCCTAATCTCAGAGTCTTTAGTCTTCACTGGTCAGCTTCGTGTCGAACTGGCCCCGAGCTCTCTGGCTCCCCGCCTTTTATAGAGATCCCCTCGGAGGGGCGGGGTTATGGGGGATCACAGAGCACCCATGGCTCCCCAGTGGTTAACGGATGCGGACGTCGGTGTGGCCACCCGTGTGTGCGGGTGCAGACACCCCTGTGTTTCTCGTCCGCCTTTTCTCCCGTAATAACCCCTACAAATACACTGTCGAAAAAAAATTTGCACCCCTCTGTCAATCATCGTGTTTCTCAGTGTGGATTTGTGAACACAATTTGTAAACAGTACTTAAAATAGCATGCGTTGTTCAGATTGTAACAAGCGTTTATACCAATGTTACTCTACAGAGTAGTGGGTCTCCGCTGCTCTTATCTGCATTGATACGAACGGTACGTGGGGACTATGGCTTAACCACAAAAAAAAACCTATCTGCACAGATGCATACGGACAAGAGAAGTATTATCAAACAGGAGGAATTAACGGTGCAATGCATCTCATCTGTTAAATATCTGCAGGTAATAGGATTGTCATCGATTGATCCTGGCGGCAGACATTGTTAGGTCACAAATAACAATGAAGATAAGAGAGCAGTTTCACTGTTTTGTGCATGCCGTGATGACTAATAGAGGACTTAAGTCGTGTAGGCAGCTTGAGCAGCTTTGGGTAAGACTTGTAATCCTGCCCATACCCAAGCATGCAGTGCATTCGCTTGTTTAGCTGCTCTGCGCATTCGTCCTCGCTGCTGCGCTTGGACACGACACGACAACAGAATGATCTGCGTCAGGTGGGTCGCGGCGTTTATGTGCGCGGAGTCGCCAAAAATAAATAAGTTAATTACGATTTTGACTTCCGTTTATTCGGGACCCCGGGGTCCCGCCATAAGGTTCATTTGTAGCTTTTCGGACACAAACATCAGGAACAATCTGAAAATCCGCGATTTTTCATTTGAAGGCCCCCAACTCTCGATTTTCATTGCCCCATAAACATGTGTGTGCGTATCATTCAGAAACCGTTCAAAATATAAGATTGAGTTTTTTTTCGTTTGATGGAGCGTTCGACGGCAAATACAATTAAAGCGACATCCACTGTTCTCTCTTTTATTGTTTTTGAGATATTACGGATTAAATCGGTTTTGTACAAAAAATATGCATTGTATGATGTTCAAATCTGAATAATTGGAAAACGGTAAAAGATAGAAGCTTCCCCTCATAGAGTATTAAGTTCATAGAGTTTTGTTCTTTCTAATAAAATAACAATATTTAAATTTAACGTTTTCCGATGGGTACGTCTTTAAATATGAGAAGTTGAATCAAGTTGTCAACAATTTTTTTACGGAAAAACACCAATGTTTGGGTTAGTTGTTAGTGTCTGATCGTAGATAAAAATGGTAAAAAATCATATCAGGTTAATTATTATATTTGAAAACTTTTGCCTGGCGAAGACAATCTTTATGAACCATTATATATAAAGTATATCAGTACAAATTGCATAAGTACATAAATTCCTGCATATTTTTCAACACTAAATGCAAGCTTGGACAAGGCAGCAAAACAACAGCAACAACAACAGTCCCACACCACACCAAGACAAGAACACACAGTAGTCCCTCACTAAAGTTGCACATTAACATTGAACTATTGATACCACGTGGTTAAATACTGGCCCTGACTTCTATTTGCTTTGTCGCTGTACTTTTATCACAATGCAATTTCATACAGCCTCATTCACACAGTTGTATCGCATACAACGCAATGTACGATATTGGGCAGCCTATACACATTAGAACGGGCCACAAAACCTTATACCCAACGACCCCGTGAACATGATTAGGGTTAGGGTAGGGGAATAAATACAATTGAAGATGTCAGTCTGATGATGTAGCCAGCTCGTTACGACGGCCTGAGTCACCGTCTCGTCCTCGTTCTGTCTGCAGGTCGCCCCCCACCACCTCCTCCAGCTCCTCCTGCTCGCTCCTCACTATCCCCATCAGCGTCTCCACTATGACTGAGGCTACAATGGGCCACCCGTTCGCCGTGGTGCAGAGAATCTACTACCCGTGCGTGTGCGCAATCGGCATTCCCGGTGAGGATTGTGCTGCCGCTTCATTGTCCTAGAATCTCAGCCAGATCCACAGCAACGCTGCTGCTGCTATCACTATCCTAGAGTATCAACTAGATCTGCAGTAGCGCTGCTGCTATCACCATCCTAGAATCTCAGCCAGATCCGGAAGAACGCTGCTGCTGCTATCACTATCCTAGAGTCTCAGCAATATCTGCAGGAATGCTGCTGCTACTGCTGCTATCACCATCCTAGAATCTCAGCCAGATCCGGAAGAACGCTGCTGCTGCTATCACTATCCTAGAGTCTCAGCAATATCTGCAGGAATGCTGCTGCTACTGCTGCTATCACCATCCTAGAATCTCAGCCAGATCCGGAAGAACGCTGCTGCTGCTATCACTATCCTAGAGTCTCAGCAATATCTGCAGGAATGCTGCTGCTACTGCTGCTATCACCATCCTAGAATCTCAGCCAGATCCGCAGGGACGCTGCTGCTGCTGCTATTACCATACTCAAATCTCCGGAATAATGCTACTGCCTTGCTGTACAGAGTGGAACAACGCGGCGGACGTCCAGAATAATGAACACCTCATTCGAGACCCAAACATCGTTGCACCTTCGCACCTCCTCCTGGATTTGAAATCCGCTGGTGGAACCATCAACCGCATCACGACATTAACAGGGCGATGCGCAGCTGTCCTTCATTAATGGGACATTAAAGGCACAGTCACAGTGGTGCGTGCGATCGTGGCCTTGCAACTCACACTATTAGACCGTATAGTAAACCCCTATAGACCCACAAGGACACATAGACTTACAGGGATACGTAGAGGCGCCCATCGTGGGTGGGTGTGATCTTTATTCCTCACTAGCGGAAGTACCCGGCGTTGCTCGGGCGAAAAAGGCAGACACACACATGGACTTACACACAGACATTGATCCACACACATAGAAACACATCGACTTAGACGCACACACATATATGGTTAAACCCAGGATGGATCGTTAGCAGGCCAGCCTAAATGTTTCTAACCGGCGAAGATGTTCCATTAGGGGGGTGCACGTTTCGCAAGCGTAGAGAAGGGAGGGAATTACCGTGGCCGAGAAGACGTGGTGCTTCATGCGGAGCGAGAGATCAGGTAGCTTCCACAGCGTAACGCAGCCGATGAAAAGATAATGGCGCTCGACTGATTTGGAGTGAGACCTCTACTTTTAAACCGGAGCCGGTCATGAGCAGACTGGCCAGGTATGGGAATTCTAGATTTGAAGCTTTCGTGACTGCAAAGATTCATATTCTTAGGTTTTTTCGGTTAAGTCACGTAAGTAAAACATCAAAATAAAAATAAAATAAAAATAAAAATCACGACGTTTCGGAGGCAACACAAGTCTCCGTTACTTACGTGACTTAACCGAAAAAACCTAAGAATAGGTATGGGAATCTCGGCAATCTCGGCAATCTTACCACAACTGCCGCATCACCAATTGTGAGTTGTGGGGGTGGATTGTTCGATGGTACAAAATACCCAGGCAGGTGCTTAGTTTTGGTGGGGCTGATGGTAAGGCCCCACCTCTTAGTGACAAGCTCCAGGTTCAGCAGCAATGAGCAGCAATCATCAAAGCATCAGCATACATAACATGGTTGAGAAATAGAGAGCCATCCCTTGACCGCACCCGGGCATCGATCAGCCTCCCATTGTATCTGTACCATACGGTAATTCCTCCGGTACAGCCATCTAAGGCTTCACGAACTACGTGGTCAAAAGATATGTTAAATAATGTGGGAGCCAGAGGACATCCCTGTCACACCCGAAGGTGTAGAGGGAATGGCTCTGACTGACGGCCACGTAGTTTGACGTGGGGCCGCTCACCAGCAGGAAGGTCCTTAAGGATCGTGAGCAAAGGGTGAGGGACTCCGAAAGCACGAAGAACAACCCAGAGCCCAGGCCTACTGATGGTGTCATAGGCCTAGAGCAGGTCAATAAAGCACACAGATGGACTAAGACACACACATGGACTTACAGACACGCGAAAAAATTGACTTACACTGACTAACATGGAGGCATGCACACACAGCGACTAACACACACGCACATGGACTGAGACACACACACACATATCGACTCACACACAAACACATCGACTCACACACACATATGCACTCACACACACATAGACATCCACTTGAGATACACACACATGGAGTTACACACACATATCGATGTACACACATATAGCGACTCACACACATACATCGGCTCACATACAGACATACTTGGACTCACACACATTGACGTAAACACACATGTACTTACACACACACACATCGACTAAGACACACACACATGGACTTACACACACATACATAGACTGACCCACACATTGCCCTACACACACATACACATATGGACTGTGACACACAGACATGTACTTTAGATACACATAGATTAACAGGCACATAGACTCACACACACGCATTGACTTACACACACACATCGAGTGACACACACACATGTATGGACTTACACACACATGTGGACTAACACACACACAGCGACTGATAGGCATACAAATGGACTGACACACACACACTTGTACGTACACACACACATGGGGCATTGTCCGTTTGAAAAAGACAGACACACATATGGACTTACACACAGACATGGACCCACACACGTAGAAACCCATCGACTTACACGTACACAAACACATGGACTCACACACACAACACATCCACTTTAGGGACACACATGTAGTTTCTGCACAAGAACATTATAATTTTAATATTAGGCAACGTATTAGTTTCATAATAATAAACGAAGCAGAGTTGTTATGTGCACACAAACATTATCATTGTAATATTTGTAAGCTTATTTGTTTAATAATAGTGAACAATAAACCTCAGTTCTTAGCGAAAGATGCAATAAAATTGTACTTTACATTGGCGTGGTTACACCTCGTCCCGTGCAGAGCCCGCGGCCTCGCCTAGATTGGCAAACCGGAGGAAGTGAGACATTGCCAGGCTGCTGGCTGGGCCGCTACCCCCCCACCATCCCCCGCCCGAGGCAGAATAATACTATGTAAGCGCTTTAAGAATATTAAGTTAATATCTAAGAACTTTATAGCAGTAACTGCACGCATTGGGGTGGTGGGGGGGGGCATCACACTGTGAAGAGAAATCGGCAGCGTGACGTGTATATTTATTTTATGTTAAACGCGTGAAATAAAATGTCCCCGTGAGCTGGAGCGAACGCGCAGTACTTGGTAGGGTCCGCCCCCCCCACGCAATTGGCGTCACTTGGTACGGTCGACGGCGCGCAATAAGTAAATAATTAATAATAGAAACGGCACAAATTTGTTAATTAAACTACTTTAACGTTTTCGGATGGGGAAACGGAATAGCCTATTCCCACCGCGGGGCTTAGGGCTTGTCGCCCAGCAAAACATTTTCTACGTGAAGGCCACTGTCCGAGAGCCAAATCCCCCACAAGCGCGAGCGCGCGGAGACTTTTATATATAAAAGAAGATTAGGAGAGGTTTAAGAATTTGTATTTATCTGTAGGTTTTCACGACTAACATCTCGATTCATAATTAGTTTCCTGTTGGGTTAGATTGTAGTGGAGGTATTATGCCAATTTATAACTGCAGTCCATTCTCCTGTAACGCTGCTTGTAGTTTTTAGAACACGAATTAGATATAAATCGATTAATGTATTAGGGAACACATTTTTTTATAACGCGGATGCGAATTGGATATAATGCGATAGAGCAAGCGGAACTACGTCACGCGAGTCGGAATAAGGGGTCGTACAGCGTAGCATCACACAAAGCATTGGGATACTGCTGGATGCTTTGAGATGACATCCACCTGCCTCAGTCTTCGTTCAGCTTGCGTACGCATCTCGCGTGTTATCGTGGACTGTGCTTTAGCCCTTTATTATAGACTAGCTTTACTACCAGGCTTCACCCGGGACTTGGATTCTTGTCTTGGATTAATACACGGCCTATGCGGAGGGTGGGGGGGGGGGGCGTGACGTCAGCAGGCACAATGCATGACGCGGCCGCGTGCGGGTGACATCACACATGTGACGTCACCGCTCACTTGCCGTGCAAAATATATCCATTATTGCCCCCCCCCCCCCCCCCAAATACAAAGTCTATTTTTATACTTTTTACATTGTGTACAGTCTGGAAGCTACCCACATGCCAAGTTTCAAATTTGTTGCATGTCGGGAAGTATGCTAAACATTTCGAACAGACACACATATTCACAAATTTCCATTATATATAGATTAATAATTATAACGTTATTTCTTTAAACGTGGTGTTCTTTAGGAACGCAACTACTACCGCCATGTTATAGGAAAACACGACTCCGGTTTTGCTGGTGAACCAAACCAATTGGTATATTTAGAATCGTGCGTTTAGAGTATTTGGCTGCTATAAATTTCCACACGTTGAAAAGCCACGTCGTTGAGCTATCATTTGTGGACAGGTCGCTTCTGAAAAAAGAGCTACATAGCTCAGTGGGCCTTATCTGGTAAAATAAAAAAACATCGTTTAGCATAGAAAATAGAAAATACAGTAGACTCTTGATTATCCGCATGCAGTTTATCCGATTTGTGGATTATCCTGGCACCTCAGATTTTTGACATGAAGCAATAATTGGTATAGAGATCCGTGGAAAATGGATATTTATTTTTTATTTTTCGCGATTTTTAATTATCCGCGGCTGTCCTCCCCATCAAGCACGGATAATGGAGAGTCTACTGCAGTTTAGTTCTTAGTTTAAATATTTTCTAAAAGGAATTTATATAGCTCCTTATCTAAGGCGCTTTACAAAGAATTAACAATGGTACAACATATTAATGTAATGGTGGAGATGAGGCGAATGAAATAGATTAGAGGAAGAAATGGGGGAAAATCTGTGATGCGTGAATTGGGTGAAAGCAAAATCGATGACAGTAAATGATGGATTGAATGAATGAATGAATGGGGAATGAGTGATAGCCACATATATACACAGTAAAACCTCGTTATTTCGGTACTTGATCATTCGTAATTGGGGATAATTCAGCATGGCTCCGCCTTCGGCTTATATATACAGAATATGTCATTCGCCGTGAGCCGAATTTCCTTACCGAATGGTCCAATTTCGACATAAACGTGGAGTGATGCTGCACGCCACAACCAAAACAATGACTCGTTCTGGTGGCGGCGTGCGTGGTGAGCATTAGTGCAGACCTGTTGCTTTGGACTTTACCTTGTTTGTGCACTCTGTCCAAGCCAACCCTCTCAGAATTGCAGTCTCCACCTACATCAAGAAGTAATAGAAAGGGACTGAAGTATAAATCCCTTAGTCTGCGAGACAAAGCCAAAGATTTGCATATAATTGATGCAGGTGTGTCAATGCGTATGGTGTGTGATGAGTTTGACATAAAATAGAGCACCTTTTACCACATCAAGAAAGGCCGGGAGAAGATTAGGAAGCATGCCTTAACCTTGGAGGTTAAGTGCATACTAAGTGCAGTAAGCCCCACTCCACAACCTCTGTCACCTACCACATCCTCCTTCACTGGTAGTGCTGGTTACTTATGGTAAGTGTAACTTTTTTTGGAAAACAAATTTTGAAAAAAAATAATTTTGGGACGGGAATCACTGGGGAGTACCATTGTACATAATTCGGAATATTGGATAATTCGGCAAGGCCAGAGCCCCATATGTGTAACATTTACAAGGGTTTACTGTAATAGATATTTGCCCACGATGTGACAACGTGATTTGAGTGGCCCTGTAGCTGGGTAGTTACAAATCGGCATGACGCCCATACGATGACGATCTAATCCAACGGGAGAAACTCAGTCATGAATCAGGTTTCAGAACCCATTTCCATGACCGGCCATTTTCTCAAACCTGGCGCCGTGCAAACGTAAACATCTTCGCAAACAAAATAGAAAAAACGGGGTTAATTTGTGGGAACTGTTCCCGCGGGAAATGGCCAAGGGGAAGGCGGGGTTCTGGAGACCTAGGGGAGGGGCTGTGGGGAAAAAAGATGTGAGGGGCGCGGGGCCACAGGTGCAGAAGAGGCGGGGCTAAGGGGAGGGCATGATCCTCGTGTAGGTGGAGAGAACGCTGACCATCTCACTCCCACTGAACCCGCACCTCCCCCCCCGCCCTTCTCCCCAGCCAACCTGCTCACCACGCTTACCCTCGCCCGGCGCTCCTGCGGCCTGTCCAAGGTGACGCGCACGTACCTCGTAGCCCTGTCGGTGGCTGACAGCCTGACTCTCGCCTGGCTGGGTGTGGTGGACCTCACGCTGCTGTGGCTGCAGCCCGAGCCCTTCTGGGGCGCCTACCCGTGGTGCGGCCTCGTCACGGTGCTCGAGTATGGCGCCATGTTCTCCTCCATCTGGATTATCGTGGCCTTCACCATCGAGCGCTTCCTCTCCGTGGCCCGGCCTGCAGGGTCGGGTCCCAGGCCCACGGCGGCGGCGAGTAGGGGTGGTGGCGGCGCCGGTGGCTTCTGCGGCGGCGCCACGACTCGGAGCCGCTCGCGGGCGGCGCTCTACGTGACGCTGGCCGTGTTCGCCGCTTCCTACGCCTTCGCTGTGCCGGGGTTCTGGCTCAATATCACCGAGGTCCAGAACGTCACGGCGGTGCGCGGCAACGTCACGGGGGTGCACGACGACAACGTCACGGAGGCGGGAAACAACTTGACTGATGTTCGAAACGTCACCACCTTCCGGGACTTTGCGGAGGTTCACAATGTGATGGAGGTCTGGAGTGACGTCACCGAGGTCCAGAACGTCACAGAGGTGAGAAAAGGTGGCGCCACGGAGGCCTGGAACGATGTACCGGAAGTCCAGGGAAACCTCAAGTCAGTCCGGACCAACGTCAGGGAGGTCTGGAATGGCGTCCTGAAGGTCCGCAATGCCACGGAGGTTCAAAACAATGTCACAAAGGTCCAAAAGGGCATCGCAGAGGTCCAGAACATCACAGAGGTCTGGGGCAACATCACACAAGTCTGGAACGACGGAACGCCAGAGATCATAGCAAGAGGCGGGAAGAAAATGTTGGAATCTTCTCTCCCGACACGGTCGATGTCATCATCCTCATCGTCATGGCCACCACCGCCGCCAGAAACGAGGCAGTCTCAGCGCTGCCACCACAACGTCAGCCCCTACGCGGAGGCCATCGTGTGGGCCCACACGCTGGCTTCGGGCGCCGTGCCCTTTGCGCTGGTGCTGATCCTGAATGGCACAGTGGTGTGGCGCCTGCGCTCCCAGGCGTTCTCGGGGCCCCAGGGCCCCCTGCGGGCCAAGACGCGCCGCTCCGTGGCCATCCTCCTGGCCGTGTCGCTGGCCTTCGTGGGTCTCTCACTGCCACGCTTCGTCACCTACTGCCTCCTCCGCACGATGGGGCCCGAGTGGGCACGGGACCGCAACGACTTCACACGGCCGCTCAATGTGGCGGCCGACGTTGCCATCATGTTGCATCTGGCCAACTCGGCTGTCAACTGCTTCCTGTACTGCCTGGCGAGCGCGGCCTTCCGCGCCGAGCTCGTGGCCTTGTTGGCCTGCAGGGGCTGCGCGAGGGGGAGCGGCAGGAAGGCCGTGGGGGCGCGTGCGCTCCGCTGAGTGGGGGCGCGTGTGTGCGTGTGTTTGTGTGTGCGTGTGTCCGTGCGTGTGTGTGTAATAGGCAGAGAGAGTGTAATGGTTAGCGTGCTGCGCTTACGGACCCAGCGACTCGAGTTCGATTCCCGCTCACAGCCATGAACACCGGTGATGATTATCTGAACCGGTACTTGGTGCGGTGTGTAAACATCGCCACTGGGGAGACAAAGGCAGTCGGGCGTGGTGGTGGCCACCCACCCCCTCGTGTGCCGTGCCGGCCTTCATAGGTGCTCGCTAACAGCACTTGACCCAACAGTTTGTTAAGGCTTATTACCAGCTCCGATTTGACAGTGGAGGTCTCACTTTGAATCAGTTGGGTAGCATGTGTGGTAGCTACCCCGCCTGACGCTCCGCACGAAGCTCCGGGTCTTCTCAGCCACAGTTATGCCCTTCCTTCTCTATGCTTGCGAAATGTGGACCCCTCTGATTGGACATCTGTGACGGTTTAAGACATTCAGCCTGACCCTGCCTACAATCCATCCTGGGTTTAACCAGACTGGATTGCGTGAGCTCACAGATCCTTGACAGATCTGGATACAGTACCGTTCGTGAGCTGCTCCAGCAGGCGAGGCTGCATTGGCTGGGTAATATAGCCCGCATGGCCAGCCACCGCATACCTAAGCAGCTTCTGTTTTACCGGAAAGAGGAGTGATGTGGTTCAGGAGGATGTGGAGCTGTGTGGACTTGCCGATGACTGCTACCTGCGGTATCAAGATCGGCCTCTATGGTGGAGGCTCGTGCATGATGCTACTGGGTAGTTGGAGGAAGTCGCCCTCCAGCAACAGCGAAGGGCAGAGGAGCGATGCTCACAACAACTAGCGGAGCGCCCGGCGACTAAAACGTAGCAAGATGACACAGTGGGGAGCATAGTTGGTGCATCTGCCAGTCATTTCAGTCATCTTATACCACCTGGGTCTCTCTCATGTTCTGCCAGCGAGCCTTCCACACTTAATGTGACGACCTCGAAGTGCACCTAGCCTGGCACATGCGCTGTGGTGAAATCACCTTCACTCTGTCCATCCATCCATCAATGCATCTGTATTTGGCTCTGTCCGTCTGCCAATGTATCTGTCGGTTCATGCATTTGTCCGTGCTGTCCATCTGGTTGACCGAGGTCTTCATATGCCTGTCTGTCTGTCTTTCAGTCTGTCTGTCTGTGTCGATCTGTCCATGTATCTGTCATTTAAACCATATGTCTGTGTGTCGATCTGTCTGAACGAGTCTCTGTCTCTGTCCATCTGTTAGTGCTGTCTGCCTGTCCACTGCTTTATCCGATCTGTCTATCCTGATGCTCATTGGGTTGTGTCTTATAAGGGTAGATCTTAAAATTAGTTTTTTGTCATTAAACATCTTCTTTTGTCAAGAAGAGATGTTTTGTTAGTTGCAGTGTGAACGTGTTCGCCAGAGGGCACGATATTTGTTGTCTAGAGGGAGACACTTGAAAGACGAGAGGGGAGGCACAGGGAGCAGGAGGAGGGAGACACGTGGTTCTCGCGCCGTGCTGCGAGCGAGCGCTGTGGGGGCAATGCCGCTCGACCTCTCCAGGATCTACGCACGCGGCATCATCACTGCCGAGCTGTTCCCTGCTGTCCCCTTACCCACCGTGGGTGCTGCTCCACACTCCGACCGGCAACGGGGTGGCGCTATTACGCCTCTAACAAAACACAGAGATCCCCCGTATCTTCCCTATAAACGTAATGTTTCGTCTGTCTGTTTGTCTGTGTGTGGACGAAACTTGCGAAAGATTTGGCTCGCCATAAGCCCCTTGGTGAGCCAGCGCCATTCCATTTTTGCACCCGTCAACTTTAAAGTAGTTAAATTAAGAATTTTGTGCTATTTATTATTATTATTTCCTTACGCCGCTCAGCGCACGCCAAAGCACGCATTTGCACATTCGCGACAAAGCTGACAGGGGTTGCCCCCAGTAACGCACACGCTTTCATTGGGAGGGGGGTAAAAATTATCTTTCGAGTAAAAAATGCAAAACAAATCAACACAACGCTGACGTAAATTCTTCGAAGTGTCATGTCCTCTTCTCCTCACCCTAATGTGTGCACTTACTACTATAGGGTCGGTAGATACTAATATTATAGCGCTTAGATACTATTATTGTAGAGCGGATGGGGGGATGGTGGGGGGGGGGTAGCGGCCCAGCCCCCAGCCTGCCAAGGTGCCACCTCGGCCGGCTGGGCAATTTAGGCGAGGCCGGGGCTCTGCACGCGACTAGGCCTCACGACGGCACTGTGTCAAGTTCATAGTTTGTGCTATAGAGTCGATATATACTGTGATGGAGTCAGCATGTACTACTTTAGTGACAGCAGATACAACCACAGTCGGTATGCACTGCTGTAGTGAAAGCAGGTACCACCACAGTCGGTATGCACTGCTGTAGTCATAACAGGTACCACCACAGTCGGTATGCACTGCTGTAGTGATAGCAGGTACCACCACAGTCGGTATGCACTGTTGTATAGATAGTAGACAATGCTATCGAGTTGGTAGATACTACTATAGAGTTAGTAGATACTGAAACAGTCAGTATATACCACTACAGTCAGTAAATACTGCTACAGTCAGTATATATTACTACGGTGAGTAGCTACTAGAGTCAGTGGATACCACTATAGAGTGAGTAGATACTGCTATAGAGTTAGTAGTTACTGCTATAGTCAGTAGATACTACTATAGAGTCAGCAGATACTACTATACAGTTAGTAGTTACTACTATAGAGTCGGTAGACACTACTGTAGTCAGTAGATACTACTATAGAGTCAGTTGATACAATAGAGTCGGTAGATACTACTGTAGAGTCAGCAGATACTACTACGGTTAGTAGTTGCTACCGCCAGTAAATACTACTACACAGTCAGTAGCTACTACTGGCTCAGTAGATACTACTGTACAGTCAATAGATACAACTACAGAGTCAATAGATACTACTTACTCTGTTGTATGTAGGATGTGTAGGTATATATACCTACGCGGGGGTAAAGATATTTTTTGAGGAGGTGGGTCGACAATTTTCGGAAACCTTTTATATTAACTATTTACCCCACACTCTCTATAACTTTTTGGACTTCTGTAAGCTTCTTATAATTCTGTTGGTGGAGAAATGGACAAACGGCCCACCGGGCATTCACAATAGCTTTGTATCTGTGTATGTATATGTAAGGTTTTTAAGATAAGTTTGGAAATATATATTTTCGCCCGGGCAACGCCGGGTACTTCCCGCTAGTAAGCTTTTAGTTTACCTGTCATTAACTTATTTCGCTCCGCACGTAGCCAACCGTGCTAATTGGGGGTGCGAAACAGGCTGTTGGGGCAAGTGCTGTTCGCGAGTCGTACCTATGAACGGCACACGAGGGGGTGGGTGGCCAGCACCACGCCGGGCCGCCTTTGTCTCCCCAGCGGCGATGTTTACTACACCGCGCCAGGTACTCATTTGCGGCTGAGTCGACCTAGGGGAGGCCCAGGACCGGTTCAGATAATTGTTACTGGTGTTGGCCGTGAGCGGGAATCGAACTCGGGTCACACCCACACCAACCGAGAACATCGCGACCCGAACATTGATGAACACACCCACACAAAGACAAAGATCCCCTGTATAGCCTGAACAGATTGTTGGGGCAAGTTCCGTTCACAAAACGCCATCAAGGCCGGCACGACACACGAGTGGTGGGTGGCCAGCACCACGCCCGGCCGTCTTTGTCTCCCTGTTACCCACCGCACTCGGTACTCATTTGAGGCTGAGTCGACCTAGAGGAGGCACAGGACACACCCACACACGGAGAACATCCCGACCCGAACACTGATGAACACACAACAACAACGGCCATTCGCCACTAAGTGGTGGTGACGTCACCACGACGCTTGTGCCAGGCTAGGTGCAGTTTTAGTGGTAGGAGGCAGAGCCGGCCCAGCCACTAAGCGACCCTTGCAATTGCAAAGGGCCCCGTGGCCAGCAGAGGGCCCCCTAGAGTCACTGCTAGCTCGTGGGTGAAAAAAATCATACATCAAAGGGGCCTCCAACCAAATTTTGCTTAGGGCCCCCAAAGGTCGTGGGGCCGGTTCTGGTAGGAGGAGTAGAGTTGGGCCAATTGGAAGGGGAGAGGGAGGGATTTATGAACGGGGGGAGTCGGTTACAGGTGGCGAGATGTTAACTACCTCGCCTGGTATGTAGGAGGTTGTGGGTTCGATCCCGACCCTGACGCCTGTTGCTGTGTATTTGTAGTTTGTGGTGTCTCTCTCTCTCCTCGTGAATCGCGTGGATTTTTCTCTGGGTCATCCGGGGTTCCCTCCACATTTAGAAAAACAGCACTCGTTTAGAGTATTTGGCTGCTACTATACATTGGTGAGTTAATCCTCTTCATCCCCTATGGGACATCAGGTCCACGTGATGGTAAGCCGCTGCGTCGAGCTGTCATTTATTATCGCCAGGTGCTCAGTGAGGCCTCAACTTGGTAAAATAAAAAAGTTTTTTTTTATACTCTTTGGTTCTTTCGGTAAAAGTATAAAATAAATCACGACGTTTCGGGCGCAACACAGCAGACCATGCTTTCCCACCTGATGACGGACGCTTGTATTGTGCCCGAAACGTCGTGATCTATTTTATTTTCTACCTACGTGACTTTACCGAAAGAACCAAAGAGTATGGATTCCTGCAGTCACGAAAGCTTCAAATCAAGATTTTAAAAAAATTAGTTTTAAAATTTGAGCGGTGGACAGAGCGCGTCGTCTGGTGGACTAAAGGTGGAGGAGGCTTTTGCTCTTTTCAACCTCGACAGCGGTGGCGATGTCTCAAACTTTGTTTGGGCTCGCAGACCACTCAGCAGAGGCAAGCACAGCACACCACTACCCCTGGCGACAAAACGCATTCACTTATCTCTCTCTAAACGGCGGTACAATAATATAATACAAAGTGATGCATGTTAACCGGGACACACACCTTTGTGCTTATTATCTATGCTGTGTTTTTTTTGGCGGAGTTTGGGGGAGGGAGGGGCGGGCGAGCTTGGACGGCACATTTATTAATTTACTTTTGGTCGTTTACAATGAAGAT